TTTTTCAGTATAGTTTAGTAAAAAAATTTAATGAGATTCAAAAAAAAATAGAAGATTATGTTCGAGAGGGGGGAGGTGTACAATGTTCTATAAAAACTCTAGGTATGGATCATATTAAAGATAATTTCAATCCTAATCAATGCAACAAGGCTTTGTTATGTGTATCCTATATGGATTATATAAAGACAAAAGGTGAGTTTACTTATGAAGACTATTTATATATGTATTATTCTATATATAATAACCTTAGGGAAAATGGTTATAGATCAGAAATACATATTATATGTAATGCGCTGATCAATGCATCTGGATATGGAAACAATGGTATATGCAATGATTTTAACAGCGTTGGAATTACTTATATAGAACTGGAGAAAATAAAAAATTTATATAATATGCACAATAGTCTTGAAAATATAAAGACACATTATTGTAAATCTAATGAAAATGATGATTTTTGTAAAACAGCAAAAGATGTTATTGATGAATATTATCCAACAAAGCATGATCCTAGTTGTCAAGAGGTCATATATAAAGTACCGGTCACTCATCATAAAAATATATCTATTCCTATATTAGTTACAATTATTACAATGTTAATAATGTCCATTTTATTATTTATTTTATTTAAGGTATATTAAGATACTATATATAATATTAAAAAATTACTAAGTATAGTTTAATAAAAAAGAAAAGTTTACTGTAAAAAAAATATATTCTTAATATATTAATTCTTTTTTTACTATGAAATAGTTATCCCCATATGGATCATACTTAGTACGTATGTTAAGAAGTATTAAAAATATGTTTAATAACATCAATGAAGAACGGAATGAAGTGGAAGCATCTGAAATATCCGGAATTATTTGGAATGACAATAACTATAATGTATTATATAATTGTGATTAATTTATTCATGCTTCAAGGTTTAGGGTTCAGAATCTAGTTTGTGTGAATGCAATGCTATCCTATTATATCACTTATAGGGGCTTTATTATTTCTTTATTATGTTACATTATTATATTTATTGCTGGAATAATATATTATCATGTAATGAATATATTACTTATTATGAAATATATAATATTTGTATTTTTGTGCTGTACGGCGTATGTTGAGTTGTAGTATACCTAGAATATCACACGAGAAATATTCTCATAATATATTTTTTTATATTAATATATCTACATATCATTAGTAATGTTGAACGTTTACATCATAAATCATGAGTAATATTAGATATATGTAAAAAATTCTTTTTTATTACGAAAAAAACATGTGAAAAACTATTATAAGTACATTCATTTAATAATTTTTTTATATATTACACATCAATAAATTGTTATTTTATAAAACTAATTAGTTTTATATTAATAATTCATCACAACAGCATCTATTGTGTAATTTATATATATGCATTATACAAGAGTGCATATATTTTCATAAGAAATACAATTGTCTAAGAATCATTATAGTATCCTTATATAATTTTTCATAACCTTGTTATATTTTCATATAAGTGTATTCTTAAAACCCCCCTAAATATACGAATTTTAATAGCATTTAACATATTATTTTTACTCTCTTTTGAATCATGCTTAAATTTATATTGAAGCAAAAAAATAAAAATTGTAATATTAGCATATATATTTATTTGTACTTTTAATTTATTCAGAATCACATAAAAAAAAAAAAAAAAATGAAATCACATTGTAAATGAATTTAATAGACAACCCTGTGTATACAACAAAAAAAAGAATAATTTTTTTTTGCCTTTTTATTCATGTGTTAAGCATACTGAGTATACAAGGAAAAAATATAAGATTATATTTTTCCTTATAAAATCCCTTAGCTGGGAATATAATGTTATTTTATGCACTATTTTTTTACATATTGTAGTTTAAAAATACTAATTAAAAAAAAAATAGTTTGGGCTTTATATTTGGCTCAATAATGCTTTGTTCTAATAATAATTTGCGTATATCTTTTACCATTAATAAAAGAACAAATCATGATGCTATTTTTTTTTTAAAGTGGAAAATAAAATAAAGAAAATTTTAAATATTTTTCTTAAAAATATTTTAGAGAAAAGAATCCTCATAAAAGAAAATCGAAGCAAATAAAGAAAAGAATTCTCATAAAAAAAATTTCACTTTTCTATTTTCTATATATAATGTTTTAATTTACATTTAAGTAATGTTTAGTTGCGTCAATTCATATTTAATAATTATAATTTATTTCATTCACATTATTATTATTCTTATGGCATATTATACTATGAAATTATGTTATGTAAATATATATATTTATAACTATGAAAATCACGTTAAATATATTACATTCTATATAACTGAAAAAAAATTCATAATAAAAAATTTAATGATAAAACCTAGAAACACAAAAAATATTTGCAAATATTAAATATAGCATTTTTATACCTATAAATAATTGATTTAACATATTATTTGTTTTTATTTATTTATTTTAATACTTTTTTTTTATATATATTTTTGCAACAATTGACAAGACATATTGAAATTTTTACCTATCATTATTATTTTTATACATATAAACAAAATTTTGATTGTTACTTAATTTCATAATTAAGGTCGCCTCAAATAATGAAAATTCTTTAACAGTTATTTTGTACTTAACAATATTACACTGGGTTGTATC